GAAGTTTAATGATGGTAGCCAGTAAACAACTCCCATGGAATCTCTGAATAGTATTTTTATGAACTATTCTTCTAAGCTTCCCTGTTTTTTGGATTTCCAAGTTTGCGATCTCTACATTTTAAAACGACTTTTCCTTCTTCATGCTAACACTCAACCAAACAGGGCCACACACTGAAACTCAGTGAAAGCAAACACTGTCAACTGCACAGAGTAATTTCCCTGAAGAGGGCAGTTTGTAATCTGAAGTCACTCTGTAAGTGTCCCTTACAGCCTGGCAGTACTTGCAACCACACTTACAGCACATCTCAAGCACATATATATGTGATGTGCTAATCAACTTTGAGTTCATACACACCCTACTTAATGAGGAATAAAATGCTCCGCTGTTTTATGATAGAAATAATATCTGTAACAGAAAAGAAATGCTAAGAAGTCAGAAAATGTAACGATAAATCAGTCATTTAAATTAAAAAAGAGGAAAGCCTCTCTGTAAGAAGCACTTCTGTTGGGTTTTCTTTGTGATGCAAATCAGTAATAAACTCCACGAATGTTTCCACATTGTGCCTTCCACACAACTCCGTTTCTTTGAACACTGTATTTACACCTGTGACACTACTTTGTGACATTACATATTTTTAAGACAGGAGAAATTTCCTTCCCCAAGTACCCATAATCTCACTGTTCCTTATGCCTTTAAGTGAAGCAAAATGGCATGCCTGAAATAGGCTCTACAACACACTCTAGAGGCTGTACAATACAGATAAATTCTCCAGGAGTGAAAAACTATTGAATTCACCTGCGTGTACCTCTGTTTTCAAACATTATCCAATATTAACATTTCAGTTATTCCCAAAGTCACAATAAGAATCGTGTACTGTTCCTATGGGCACAGCTGTCTGGAGATAAAAGGTTCGGAAGGACAGACAAATAAGTTAGTTAAACTAATGCAATTGCAAGACAAACTTTCTGGGATGAAAATCCCTTTCTCAAAGACATATGGTTTGCATATCTTTTTTTTTTTTTTTTTTTTTTTTTTTCCAATTGCATTGGTTACCTACACAAAACTTAACTGTATCTGCAATTCCTACTTCGGTAAAAAAAAAAAAATAAAAATAAGATAGAATAAAATAAAAAATGTAAAGCTGCATACACCTCTCCCGAGCTCTCTGACAGAAGTGTTGGGTTCTGCAATGCACTAAAAATACGTATTTTTAGTTCAACAGTTCAGAAGCATAAAGCCCTGTTCCACACAAGTCCCAGAAGCTGGTGAGATTCTGCTGGAGCACTCTATAAATACATCGTCTGTCAAACAGGAAAAGGAAAAAAAAGAAAAAAGCTCTTTTTATTTAAATAAGTTGCACAATCGAGCACTGCAACTTCCTTCAGAGCCTGCCAGACGAGGTCCCGAGTCGCAGGATGTGATTTGTGATGACTTTTCAAATGAAAAATATTTGCTAAGTGCAATGAATATGGAAAGATCTCTATTCCCAGTACAGCAATGTAAAAGCAGCCAAATCATCTGTCATTCATGTTAATTTAATTACGGGACCGCATTCAATTATCCAATATAATATGTAAATGAAACGAGTTGACAGCACATGCTAATTATAGTCATTGCAATAATTAAATCGGAGAAAGGGAATAAAAATGTAATGGGATAGGATATTTTTAATTAACAAGAACATTTTAATTAGCATCTGTGGTCTTACAGCGTGGCACAATGCGACGGCTTCATCCTGAGACCGGACATTATTCTTAAGCTGGTCGAGCTTGTCCAGCCCTGCCCCTGGCACCATGGGACCCGTTTGGGATGCTAATAGATGAAGGGGCAGCCAGCAGAGCAGGCGCCTACCACAGCAGAGCTCCCCGTCCTGCAAAACCAGGGCTGTCTATCGCTATCGTAAACAGAAGTTCACGTGCCGAGACAAAACAGGCAGTGCTGTTCAGGCATGACTGATGATGCCGAAGCATTTAAAATATTAAAGGAACACTTTGCTTTCTGAAATTTTCAGTTTCATAACTGATTTATTTCTCCAGTGACGGCAGCTGCCTCGGAAAGGCTCTCTGGACATTAAAACGAAATGCACAAAAAAAAATGGGAAGGAGTATTGCCGATATGTGGGCAGTCAGCAAAATCAAAGTCTTGCTAAAATAAACAGAGCGAGCACTATCAAAACACCATGGAATGCAGTCCTTAGCAATCCACTGTCCTCGCTGCTCCTCGACAGAACCATTTGGGCCTGGGCTGATGGCAGGACGTGGGAGCCCAGCCGCAGGCCGGCACACATCTGCAGGACCCACTGCGGGGCTCCTGCCAGCTGCACAGAGTGCTGAGAAAAGAATCCGACTTGTGCATTCACCTCCCAACCAACTGTGAAGTGCTGCACAGATCCCACTCTGCTCACTGAATGCATAATGCTCTTGGAGGATTTTACTCTATGAGCATGAAATATTTTGGAAATTGTCCTTTTGACTCCATAGTAGTAATAATTAACTTAAAATCACAGCATTGCTTCAGAAAGCCCATGTTCAGGTTCGCAGACTGTAAAATCTCTTAAACTTTTTTTTTTTTTTTTTTAAAGAAATCTATTCTCTAAATTGCACACTTCTGAATAATGAATGCCCTTTTTTTTCTTTATCTCAGTGTGCCTTTTGAGTACTTTACCTGTTCACGTGGTTGGACAGAGGCACAGCAGAAGCTGTAAATAACAGGTTTTTTTTTTTTTTATGAGTTCAAAGGAATGAAAGCTTACACAGCTTTGTAATAAGGGACAGAAATTTAGAGAGGGAAAGACCTATTTAAACAGCAAACAATACAAACAGAAATGCATTTGGCTTTAAGAATAATGCAAGTTTGCTGGGAAATACGTTAGTTATCGACTTTTTAAAAGTCTGTTCCAGTAGTAAATAAAAAGAGCTACCAGGCACCATGAAAGTTTGGCTGCATCGCTCAAGTCCCGTGGATCTATTTTTACGATGCAGTTCTTTCCAGGATTTCAAGTCTGCTATGTGAAAGCTTTCACTGCGAGACCCATTTTTTATTTTTAGTAGCACTCTGCGAATGATCCACAATGAAAGAAAAAAAAACGGGAAGCTCAAAACGTAGTAAAAAATTAAACCATGAGGGAATTAATAGGAAGCACTTCCCATTTCAGTCAGGGCATCCTATCTTTATTGGAAGTCACAACGCTAACAGCACCTGAGAATGATGACCTGCTTAGCAGCAAATGATGATGGTGCTCAGCAGTAAAAGTAAAAACACTGTTGTATAATCTTCCCTACATTTTATGAGTACCTGATTGAGTAAGATTCTGCCTTTTTGGAACGTTAGCAGTGCTGTCAGGAACAGCACAATCACTCCAATAGGAGTAACGGGAGAAATACGGAGAGTCTGAGATTACCAGTGGGAAGGAGGCCTGCAGAACGACACACGATGCACACACTTTGTCTCTTGACTGCAGCCACACGGGCAGCTGCTGCCATGGCACTGTGCCGGGCTCCTGCTGCTGGACCTCTGCCCCAGGTCAGAATGCAGAGCAGTGACAGGCACTGCAGTGTGCTCCACAGGCACTGCTGGTAGGAAATCCCACTGCTGTGCTACTCCTGGCACATTTATAGCTGCATGTCCTCTTGGCAATAAATCACAGCTGTTTATACTTGTGTGCCAGAAAAGAGATTTTGAAACTGTGGAGAAAAACCAAGGCTGTATGCTGGCACCCCCGGATGCCAGCACGACTGCTGGTGCAGCACTGAGGATGAGAAAACTGCAGTGGTGTCACGTGGATTTTCAAAATGACCATACTGAGGAGTACTGCCCACAGGCAGCCCCTGCTCCTGAGAGGCTCCAGGCTGTACTTTGAGCTTTGGGCCCTGACAGTCTGTGTGCTGGTAGCAGTGCCTCTGTACCCTGAAGTGGGATTTGGCTCCACCAGGAAGGAAGGCTGCAGGATCCTCCCTCAGGTTCTGTGGCCAAAACCACAGAAACGTTACTGTATATTATGTGATTACAGAATATTTTCGACAGCATTTTCAACTTTAGGATATTTGAATGTTCCAACTACGGTCAAAAACCGTGGACAGCTTTTCTCTAACCTTTGCAGACAAGTTGAGCCACTTCTTTCTTCTGTTGTCCCATTTAACCGGTGGAACTAAGCTGCTCATCCTGCACCCCCACCCAAAGGCTGAACAAAAATGGGAACCAACTATTACAAGCATGGTGAGAGAAGAAAAAAAACAACAAATAACTTCACAAAATTGAATCATATCAAAGATGTAGGCACCATATCACACCTTTCACATATCCAGAGTCAGGGTCACAGAAGGAAAGAGCAAGTGCCAACATCCACTGTGCCAGTACCCCTGAGATGTTATGTGCGACCTGAGGAAACTGGGAGCCTTTTAAAACCCAAAGTATTCAAAATCATTTTGAAGATTTGCACCTGGGTTATTGTGTAAGCCACTGTCATTAGTATGAGAAGTCTCAGAGTCCGTTAACAAAAGTGAACAACAATGAAGGAAGCTAGACAGGGATTTCCACTGTCTGTTTGACAGTATTTGCTTTACTTCTGGAAAGATACAAGAAGGCTTAAATTTAGAAGAGCTCTCTGGGTTTTTGAGGACATGCCTTCATGGCAGACTAGCTTTGCTGTCTTTTCAAGGTTGTACTTGGGCACCACAGCTGCCCAATCAAGCTGACAAGAAGTTAACTTGGAATTAAAAATATTTGCTAAGTATATCTTGGCAGAGAGTGAGTTTAATTATGATCAACACGAGGTCACCATTGTTGTCTGTGTAAGAACACAGAACTTGCTCATGGCCATGATAAAACTGCAGTATTTTTCCTAACGTGTAACTTCAGCTAATATTTTGTAAATGCACACATTTGTGTTCACAGGAATCCCAACTCTTCAAAACAGTGTTGAAGGGGTTTGTTATTTTTGAGGGATCCGTGGCTAAACACACACTTGATAACTTCTGATCCCATTTTCCATTTGCCTTACCTGGTTATCTGTGTTGTTTACAGTAAAATAGCCCACACAAATGATGACTTCATGTAGCAATCCTTCACAGGTATGCTGGGAACAGTACCACAGCAACGAGCTGATAATATGGCGGAAGGCAAGGGACAGTCCTTCAGCACCAACGATAGACTGAAAAAAAGGTAAAGAAACAGAAGTTACAGCCCAGCAGTGTGTTGTAGAAATCACACGCATCACAATGCATCAGTGACATAAATTTGGGAGAAAGTACTGACTGCATTTTTGGCTGCAATGAGATTTTTCGGAGGATGGAATCGGATCTCTTGTTTCATTCAGTAGCTTGCACTTACAACTGAACTGTAACATTAAAAGCCAGACAAATGAGAGTAAATTCAAACTCTGAAGGGACACAGGAAAACTGGATTCTGCCTAGCTGACATGCAGTGTAGCATTAAGTTGACTGTTCCATTTGACTTACATTATACGTTCCAGGAAAACTTAATGCTAATGATATTTCCTAGTAAGCAGCAAAAGAAATCACATCATTTTTGCAGAATGCATTTTGCATTAATAACTCCTGCTCTGAATGGAATACAAAGATTAATACGTAATTAGTTTGCAAACATGAAAAAAGTTAGAAACATCCAAAAGGAGAGAACAGTCAGCTGTACAGCTTTTTGGGGTACTTTTAAAAAGTAGTCAAATGGCTGTAATGTGGAGATTCTGAATTAGATTTTATCTGCACAGCCTACAGCCTCTATTTAATAAACATGTCAAACAGACAGAACGACACAAGGTCAAAGGGGAAAACTAAAGCACAAAGAATGAGCATGACAGTCTACTAACTCTAATGAAATAGCAATGCAGGCCTGTGAGAGAATTTCTTTCATTTGGGAGTTTTCTTCTTCTCATATCTTGCAGTCTGCATTAACTGCATCTCCATAAATCCCAGTCTGCAGTATAGTTTAGTTTCGGCACACTGAAAATCTCTACCCAGGAAAAGCAGAATCCTTGAGAATTAAGCCAGACTCAGCTGCGGCTGTTTCTCCATCTTGAAGCTCACGCATCTCCTGAGCTCAGCGTATTTTCAAATCCTACCACACAACTGTTTACCACCACCATGTAAATGCCACGTTCATATGCCACCCTTCTTCAATTAGGGCAGCCCATGCATGCTGTGACCTGGCACTCTGGGCTAAACCCTCCCCGATAACAACGGGTCAAAGGGCACCTGAGTTTGTGTATAGAAGTTAAACTAATTTTTCAAGGAAACTATGCTTCCTTTTTAGCCAGAATTAATATCAGCTCGGGATCCTGTGTTGTTTCTCACTACCATCTTTCAATTGTTTAGACTGTCAAATTAAATTAAATATATACCCACGAGCCATCTGTGCTAATACAAACTCAAGAATACCAGAGCTCTTCTATTCATCAGAAAACCCCACTCTATGGCCCTACTATTACACGATAAAACTACTCCTTCAAGATAACAATCTGACTGCATGAGCTACGCTCCTTCCCTCCGCTGTCTGCTCCTGCCCACAGGGTCGGGACAGGCACTAATTGGCCTCAGGTGTACAGAGTATTAATGCTACAGAAACAAACCCTGTTACTACAGAGGAATGGATGGCTGCTGAGACTACATGTGTGCCCACTGTGCCACGAGACAGCTCAGCATTACCTTCCCTGGGTCTGCATCAATGCACTGAAGGAAATCACTCACACTGGTCCGCTTCCTATGACACTGTTATGCAGCAACAAACAAACCTTCCATCCCAAACCAAGAGCTACCGGGCCTGCTGTACAAATGAGCTGCTTTGATTTACAGAAAGAAATGGGAGTTAATGGTGCACGTAAGAGTTGTTTCACATGGAACTCCAATAAACAGTTTGTGTCCCATAAAAGAAAAACTACTGACTACATGGATCCCTCAGCTGCAACTATACAGATGTATGCAGTAAATGTAAGCTTGCTGCTAAATGGACTAAAAATTAGAAATACGTAAGGAAGGAGGCACAAAATTCTCTACTCCTCCAAAGCTCTTCCTGGTTTTAACACATTTCAGATGAAGGTTATGGTGCAGCCTATACACAGATTACACAACGAATGAAACAGAAACCTGTCTGATGAATGGTATGAGAATGATGTTATTGTGTTTAGCAAAGCAATGCTTTCTGCCAGGTGCTTTGTATGAATAAAATAAAAGCTCTGCCGATTCATCTGAGAAGTATTTTACAGATTCTTAGTATGGCTAAATGACTCCTGTACCAGTAATAGGTAAGAAAAGACTCTTTTAATTTCAATGAATAATAAATTATGGAAAACATTGCTTTGAGAAAAAGTTTAGATATTAAGTGATTTTCAGCTTGAGATATACAGTGCAAGCAGCTACTGAAAGCACTCAGAAATGAGAATTATGGTTATAATACAAGCCCCTTCTCATCAGAAGGATTTACTTCTTGCTCTTGAATGAAATTTTAATAAATATATATAGTGTTACATATATAAAATTTCTTTCTTTTTTTTTTTTTTAATTAAAGGAAGACCTCCAAAAGCAAAATATTATCCTACAGAATAAGCTTTCCTTTTTATGAATACCAGTACTAATGGATTGGATTCAGCATTTCATGTATTGCAAACTTTCACACTTTGGTTATACCTATTAGCCACAGGGTAGAAATAATTTTGTGCACAAGAAAACAGACAATTCACAAAATAACTAAGACCCTGGAGATGGACGTCAGCCCAAAAACACACACAGTCATTAATATTTTCACACAAAGCAAAAGCTGTAAAACATCTGTTACCTGGAAAGCAGGCAGATCAAGAACCGCAAAGCTATTGAAGAAACGTAAACTCTGAATGGCAACCTGGATTGTGTTCTCTGCGTAGCTGTCTTTAGGACTGGCTGTGTTTGGATCTGAAATTGTGCCGTGGAAAAGAACACAGTACAGCATATGCAAGACTCCAACCAGATCCGTAGCCTGAAGAACCGCCGTTAGCCCTGTGGGATCCTGACGCGTACTGTCAAATATGTTCCAAGATCTGTCAAAGAAACATTAAACCGTCTGAAAAGAGGAGCAGCACACACTTGCCCAGGGTGAAGCAGTTATAAGGGAAATGTTTGAGCACAAGCAAACTGCTAAAAAGGAAAATAGCCCGATGTCTAACATGTCAAGAATCCACAATATTTCCACAACATTATTTCAATAATCCGGGCACGGTCTCTTGCTCTCCTTAATTACAGCGCTGCTATACTCTTTAAATATCCTTCTCCACATCCTGGTGTCTTTGTTTCCAAACTGGGCTGATGATGCCAATGAGAGACCACGCAGAAGTCGGCCAGCTCTCAGGTCAGAGAGCTGGGGGCACTTCTGGGGGATCCACGCAGGCCGCCCCTGTGGCCAGCAGCCCACGGCCATCCTTCCTCTCCCCACAGAGAGGTGGGAGCACAGCCCGTGCCTCTCCTGCCTTGGGAATGGGCGGTGGGCATGGCAGCAGACATGCTGCTGATGAAGCAAAAGCAGTTATCCGGACCAGACAATCTTAATCAAATCGTTCTGCAGGAATCTGAGAATGGAGTGGTTGAGCAGTTAAGCAAAACACTGCCGCTTATTTCCATCAGATGCTGTTATGGAAGACTGTATGGGAGCAAAACAGAAGTCTGAAAGGCTTGATGCAAGGAAGTCACAAGTAGTGAAACCTAAGACTATTGCTACTTTGGACGTTAAATGCAAATACAAAAAGCACACAAAATAATCCAACAAGGTTTCACAAGGTTTCATAAAATCACAGAACTGCAGGGGTTGGAAGGGACCATTATCAAGTCCAGCCTCTACTAATAATGCAGGTTCCCTGCAGCAGCTTACATACGTAGGTGTCCAGATGGGTCTTGAATACCTTTTAGAGAAGAAGATACATAATTCAAGTCCTGATCTGAACTATCATGTGAACCAGCTGAACTTCACTGTGGAAGCACAATAGGTCTGTGTAAGTATTCACAGGAAACACTGGAATACAACAAGCACTGACACTGAATATATGGTGCACCAACCTTCTACCTTTACCTGATACACTGCGTTTGCATCTTAAAGAAAATAAAAGAGAAAAAGGAAAAGGGAAAAGAAATGTCGATATCAGAACCAACTATTTTCTTTTTTTCTGTTACTAAGGGAAAATTCCACAGGCGATATGATACATATTAAAAGATAAAAGGGCAAACTAGGTGAGGGTATCTTTCCCTTTTATAAAAACCAAAAGAAAAGGAAAAGGGAGAACAGAGAATAAGAGACAAGCTGGAAAGAAGATCCATCTAACACCGTCTGTAACTCTGAAGACAAGACCTTGGGTTATCACAGAAAGGACTGGACTGGACCCTCAAAGCACTCCTGCTGACCAGGATCAGCAAGCTTTCCTTGACCGAAAGAGCTCAATGCAGCCTTTTCAGTACTTGTCTCAGAAGCAACTCGTATCTGTCTGTACACCAACCTGAGTGAACAGCCTGGCTGTGCACAGCTCACTCTGCTGGCACACATCTGCCTTCATCACTGCTGTCTTACAGCTCCACATTTAGAAAGCAGTTACCTCAGATGAATGCTATCACTGTATCAGTTAGGTCACCTGCGTAGGGAAAGATTTTATCAGAAATAAGCATGCAGGGGTACCATTTCTTCTAAATGACTTCCTATTTACAGTCTGTGCATGGCTGATGTTACTGAAAAGCTTCACGTGCAGCATTCTCTGCTGATATGCCAAGATTTCATTCATGTCCCAGTCCTACTTCAGCGATACCTACACTGTGCAAACATCCCATCAAACCACTCTTTGCAATGTCTGAAAGAAACAACCAGATCTTCAGGTAAGACAGAGAAAGAACACAAGGAGGTACCACATCTGCCCTCCCGTCAGCACTTGGGTGCTACGTGGGTGCTCCACCTTTGACACTCAGCACCACCACCCTGACCACTGCAGACCTCAGCTAGAGCTCTGTGCAGCTGAGTTCATGCCAGTTTCCAAAACTGGTATGACTATTTAACACTGGCTGCCTTTAACAACCCACTCAGACTCACAAGGATCCCTAAAGGGGCTCTGCCACAAACCCAGCCACAGCAGTGCTTCAGAAGGCCCTGGCACAGCATTTGCTCGGGATACATTCAGTAACATTCAAAACACAGCGTAAAGTACAGTCAAATGATTAAAATAATGATTTAATGTCACTTACCTCCTGCAAAAGAAGCACAAATAGCTTGTGGTTTGTAACACTCAACAGTCCTAGCATCTATGCTGCAAAGAATGACACAAAGAAGAAAGAAAAAAAGGAAAAGTCCTGGAGCTCTAAGTTTGCTTTGGGTGGAGCCACGCAGCACAACTTACAACGTGAAGCTCCTTTTTCAGCAGCTGGAAGCTGCAGGGTCCTCAGGTGAGCGCACCAGACTGCAGCGAGCAGCAGGGAACAGGCAGCAGGCCTGCTGCACCAGGAAGGCAGTCAGCAGCTCAGGGCCACCTCCGTGCACTCCCAGGACGTGTGCTGAGTCTGAGCTGCTCGCTGCTGCCCACCAAGAGGCACTGCTGGCTGCCCAACTATGCACTCGGCAGCCAGAGCGTGCCAACCGCTGCAACAGGCAGGCTGTTTGTTTCCACAGCATCACATGAGCACAGCTCCCTCTGCAACCAGTATTTTATTTCCATCTTAGCTTCAACCACCGTAGCAAACAGAAAAACTATCAGCTGAAAAACAGTCGTGTTCAAACGACAGCCCCAAATTCATTGCTGTACATGACACCTCCCGCAGCTTTTTGTGACTCTGTGCAACGAGGAGGTTGTCTGATTTTAGCCAAGGTTAAAGTTAGCTTGCTTTCAGCTCTCACTCCATCATTACATTTAAACAACTCCATATGAGAAAGCTTATAGAGCTGGATGAAATCCTTTTGCCATTTTGAGCAGTGAATGAATCAAAATATACATAAAAAAGTCAATTGTAAAAATGACTTGAAATGCATGCTCTCTTTTTTTCGCCCCCCCCACCCCCACCCCCCAGAAGAGACCAAGGATTTCACAGTCCCACCGCAGGACAAAGCTGTTAAAAAAAGTCATTTTGTCTGTGAGGTTTGGTGGGCTGAAGGAACTGTTGAAAATGTTTATTTTTGATTTTGCCTGTATTACAGTTAATTTGTGTATGAACAGGCTACCGGCTCCTGTTGGTTTTAACTGTCAGTTATAATCACTTTAAGCCTAAATGTTTACAATAAAAAGGTAAAAGACGTTATTCATACCGGTTGCGGGCTTTAAAGCAGAAAAAAACACATGTGAGATGTGGGAAAATGGAAGGCGAAGCTTTGTGTGTGCTGCTCTGAGCTGCTCTGGTCAAGCCCATAAAACAGCGGATTCCATACGTTTAGCAGATTTTAAAAACCCTTTTAGTCCACCTCAAATGTAAGCCCAAGGAAAGCTCTGATAACTGGCAGCTTACAGGCCGAGAGGAAGGGAAACAAACAAAACCCACAGCAGTAAGAAGGGACTCTGTCACACAGGAAACTGAAGTCTGTATGTAACTAAAGCTGTGAGTCCTACGGAGGCATCTCCTTTTGATTATCCTATTTAAAGGAGCCCACACGTTAACCGTGTTGCTAAGGGCTGCCAAAGTAAAGCAGAATGGACAACCCCCCCCAGTTGCTCACCAAAGGGAAGACTTACAGGACTTTTTATTTCTTATTCTTTTCTTTCTTTTCTTTTTTTATTCTTTTCCACTGGCTATTCTAGGCTGGGGAAAGGGAAAGGAAAGGCTTCCAAACTTCTACCAAGTCTCTATATTTAGCACAGAAAAACAGGCAAATATTTATATTAGGGTCTAACAACCTGTGGGAGTAAAATAAAGGAAAAAATACAACAAAAATTAAGTGCAGGACGTTTCATGATGGGCTGCCATTATGATTATCAGATTCTGCCACAGGAGACTTCTCCCCCATTGGCAGAGGGTTCACGATTTACAAAAAAGGTTTAAGAATTAAAAAGCATGGATATATGCATCCCAGCAAAGAGATATTAAACAGTGGTGCTGCACTGCTTAACGTACACCACTATTTATTAAAAACAGGAATTTAATGCAGCTTGATGAGAAACAGCAGACTCTGCAGAGCGAGTATAAAACTACAACTTCTCCAAACTTCAATATGAGCAAACTGTTTATATCTGAAAATATATTGTTTTAAAAACGGACTGAGCTAACAAGCAGACAAGCCCCTCTAAGGGTATACATTATAATGTTTGTATATTTGAAATATATACTCCTGATTAAAAACAGGGAGCCAAATGGAAACATGAGTTTTCAAGAGGCTTAGAATATGTTTGTTTTTTCTAATATTAGGATTTAAAAACCATCATCTGTACTTTCTCCTTCTACATTCTATTACTGAGAAAGAAACGTCAAAAAAAGAGGCAAAACAATAATAAAATAGCTATAAGGAGGACTTAGCACCTGCCAAACCTAATTATAAATCCCATTATCAAGCCACAAATCATTGCGTTGTTCAATAGGTGGTCTGAAAGTCTGCAGTAATTTCCAGAAGAAATTTCAATTAGTTTGCAGTCCTTGCTGCATTTGCTGTCTGCTGGAAGCAGTGAGAAGCACACCCAGAATTCAAACAGACTTGCATATGATTTGCTATCCAGCAGCCAAAACAAGCATTATCTTAATTACTGTAATAAAACTGGAAAGAAACTAGCCCACTTCCTTGCACGTCTGTGACGTGACAGTCGCTGTGTTCCTGGACCAAGCCCTATATATCTGCAGCTTTCTGCTGCTGCTGCTCGTAGACCAGATCCATCAGCTGCTGCCTTGGATTTAGATGCACCTCAGCACTGCTCTGGGATAGCACACGATGCTAACAACTTTGCTACTGCGTTGCTAAGACATGCCATTTTGCTGCGCTGCTTAGGGAGCTTGTACACATTGGCTGCACCATGAAAGTGGCAGAACTTGGTCCAAGTTGCCATCCCAGGAAGCTTCTTGATTTGAGGATCTCTCCATGCACAATTCACTGCCCTCATGGTGTCTGTTACTGTCAGCTTGCTGTGCTGCTCTTAGAGAGAGCATTCCCTCACAGCAGTTATTATTATTATTATGGATTGACCCTTACACTGAGCCACTGCTGCTATTTTTCTGCTGTTGTTTGCATTCAATCTGTAGCTCACTGTTTCATTAAGAGCTCTCACACAACAGATCAGTCTGTCTACTGGCAGTTCCATGAATTCTTGACTTGCTTTGTGATTTCTACCTTACCAGTGTGCAGCATCACGTACCACAGCAACACAATGCCCTGGGTGGAAGTGTCAGCACATATTACTGATGGTCACAGGTGAAAGGAGACATTGGCAACAGTCCTCCAGAGTAAAAACTGAACAGCTAAGACACAAGTCTTATTTCCAGTCACTTTCAGGGGAAGGAGGGGTAAAATCTGATGAAGGCTGGGAGTACAGGAAGGGACAGGAACATAAACAAGACCCTTGCTATGAGGGGAAAGACCTACAACAGGCTGAGCTGTTGCTCAGCTTTCACTCCAATTTTTTGGGAATGGTCAGCCAGGTCAGCATGGCAGTATTTTTGTTCATGCTCCCCATGTTCTCTGCTTGCTTACTGTTATACTGACAAAGCAAGCATGCTACCATGTGTGTATGCAGGACTCAGGACCCACATATAAGCCTAGTAGTGCAGAGGTACAATGAAGAACTCCTCTAGGACACAAGGCCATCATCCTAACCACTGCTACTGTTCATCTGCAATTGAACACAGACTGCAAGGCAGATCTGAAAGTCTACATGTACCACTCTTACTATGCATTCAGTCAGCTGCTCAGCTTCGTTTTAATAAAGACATCTTTCTTTATTCTTAATGGTAAGCAGAAAAGAGCTAAGCATCATCATGGCCACAATTTTTAAGTCTTAGTGTCAAATGTAATGTTTATCTTTTGCTCAGCAAACAGATATTGCTAACCAGACATGCTGCACTTTCAAGATACTGAGAGACAATGCCTTATTTTCATCTCTCATACACCTACAATAGTTATCAAAACAAGGGTTAAAAGTTACTAATGTTTTCAACAAATGATCTTCTACAAACACTACAGTGTTTAGAAAACACTATCAAACTCACTGCAAAACTTCAGCTGAAAGAATCACTCTAGCATTTACTCGTCAGTACCAAAAATTCACACTTGAAAAGATCAATATAAAAGTTAAATCTTTTTAAAGACCTTGACCACAAATGAAAAGAAAATCCTCCTTTTACTATGAGTTTATAACGTATGTTCAGAATGGATTCCCTCATTTCAGTAACTTTTTATGATGCTAAAATTGAGAATCCTCCACTTTATGTTTCTACATTACTAAGGTTTTTCCTTTACTGTATCTTACATCATGATTTTGAATTTATTTTTTTTAAAGTCTACCAGGCGAATAAAAATGTATTGTAGTTTATGTCTCAACATTTTGTCTTTTACTTTATTTAACATTTAACATTTCATGCTGACATACATATCTGCAATTTGAAGATATTCTCTAATCATTGTTATTGATGCAATGTTTCCTAAAACCAATCCAACATGGAGATCTCCATGAATTAATGGAGAGAGAAACAGAACAGTGAAGGTCCTAATTCCATTAAAACAAGGAGGAGGACTGCCTGTCACAAAGGTCCTGATCAAGACCTGCAGGTGGACCCTGACAGAACAGCTTGCCACAAAGCCAGTATCCAAGCAAACACCGGGTCTAGATTTAGAGTTTGGTTTAGAAACATCTTGCAAAATTGTGGATGGTTTTGATGTAAGTCCTGTAGAGAAGACAGGAAAGTCCACATTAACAGCACTTCCTACGTCTGAGCTCCAGAAATGTGCACTTTGTATCCCGAGGACAGGCTCTGTTAATTGTTTAGAACGTGTGTTACCGTGTTCAACTTCTAGCCCTCTGGGAATAGCCCTGGTTAGAGCTGCAGTAAGGACCCTTCCAGCAGCCTGGTGCTGTCTGAACCCAGCAAGGAAGGCTACCCAGCATTTGGCCAGCTCATGAGTTCCAGCTCATGAAGGATTTCATTGCTGCAGGCTGTGGAAGATTTGACAGCTTGGTGGTCTTGGTTCAACCACCTGCCTTATGACCAAGTCCTGTCAGCTCCCCACTGTGCCCACTCAGCAGCACAACGCGCCCTCTAAAAACTGCAGGCAGCATGAAGAGCACATACAGCCTAATGCATTGAGCACAGAACCACATTTTATATAAGAACCAACACAGGCTGCTGTTTTTATCAGAAAAACAAAATAAACGACATGCTTCCACCATCATCATCAAGGGGCTCCAGTAAGTTCCTTACCTCGAGAAATCCCTTTAGGAGATGAATCTCAAATTGCTCTTGCAACAATGGGGAAAGCCTGGAACACTAATACCTGTTTTTCAAAACTTTCTGTCCTACAGCAACACAGAAGTGACACTACTTAGCAGATTTTTCTTTTTTTCCTCTGGATAACAACTCCAAACGCATTAACAACAGGGTGGTTAGTTTGGTGCTTAGGCATGGAGAATCAGGAATACTGGATTCTGACAGAACAGGACGCCCTGCTTCCTACTGCTGGTTAGCACAAATGAAAGAGTCATCTGTATTTCTCACAAAGAGAGGCTGCCTTTAGTGCTGCAGATCACGTATCACACAAAATGTATTACAGCACTGTGACATATTTAAGAATTCAATAAATTTGAACTCTGTTTCTGCCATCTCGATGTGTGTTTGGCAGCAGCTTTTTCCATTAAAATCACCTTGAATATTAAGGAACTCCTTGTGCACGTTATGTAACATGGCAGAATCACACTGCATTCTGTTCTTCAACAGGAGCACGCTGAGGTGATTAAAGGCATTTGAACTGCCTGTCTGATCAGTTATAGCATAACTTTTATCTAAAAGTGAAAGACAGCAGTTTCAGAATCCGCAAGTTCGTTTCTCTCATTTCTTTTCATGCTCAAAGGAACAACCTAACAGGAAAACTGACAACAATCAGCACCTTTGGATAAACTCACCAGCACTGCTGTTTATAAGATCAGATACTTCTCGGTGTGACTGAAGAAAAATGCTCAACTCTCCAAAATTCATATTTTGCTACAGAACACAGAAGTACTTGCATAGCACAATATTTCATTACTTTGGGAGCAAATATCTTTTGTGTGTTGGGTGAGACATATGCCCGCTTCAGAAATGGCACATATTATATTACTCAGACTCACAGCCAGAATCATTATTCCACTAAGAGAAAGGTGAATTTTTTCAGTACACGTTTCACTTTTGGCAGCGCTGTCCTGGAATGTAAAATGCCAAGTTGGCAGCTTTCATACAGGGAAATTTCAGTAAGTTGGGATGGTCTCTTTGGGCTCATATTTCTTGCAGTTCTTTTTCCATGTGCCCGTGTGTCCTGGAGTTACCAGCAACAGCTCTCACCTGCAGCCCTGTTTAATTTATGTTTTCTTAACTCTTGTTCTTCAACGTTAGCATCCCTTCAGGCATTCACTGTCAAGTTCTGGCAGCACTGTCTTACCCTGAAACACGCAGCAGTCTAATGGCAGTAGGTTTTAGCACGTGGCCCCTGAAGCTCTGAAATTTTGACTTTGACACTTGGGCCATCTGAGGCTGCAGACAGAGCAGTCTGGATTTGCCAGCAGAGATATGCCACATGCTCATCCCCCTCAGCCCCGGTTAGGTTGCAGAAATGAGCATTTTGCATTAGAAAAATCCCCTGACAGATCCAATAATACTTTATATAAATATAATTCCCTTACTGATAGCAGTATCTTGAAGAACAAGAACTGAATTCGGCTATCTAAAAGACAAAATCAATTAAGAGTTGATTTCAGCTGACAGTAAAATACTTCAAGTCCTTAGTACTGTACGCTTAAGTTCAGCAGTGATAAAACCCTCTCTGTAATGACGAGTGAAGGGGACGCAGCTTGCAGTTCTGATAAACAACCTACAAGAATTGAGACTCAGTGCAGGCAACTAATTATGGTTCAATGGTGAAAGGGTGAGCAGAGCTTCTCTTCCAGCCTTCACTGTGTCACTAAGGACTGGTGCCCCTTAACAGCCTTACCTCAGCGCTCGCTTACTACCACAGATGCAGTGTTGGTTAAAAGTTCCGCTGGCTGCTGCCTGGTGAACATAACAGAGGTGACAGACCAAGTGTACCTACCTTCCACTGACAGCAAAGCAGAGCTGACATATTCCATGCAACAGCGCTGTGGCATTTTGTAGAAAAGTTGCTATTTTTGGATTCTCATCAACAGGGCCTTGAACGGACAGGAAACAGCAGCACAACTTGTCTATCAATCCTATGTTCACCACGTAACTGGAAACAGATGAAAAACTGTATTAAAAAATAGCCCTGTGACAGTTTTGATGACTTTACAAAGAACGGAATTTCTGCTTCTCTGCTATCAAACCATATAAAATACAGTTTGTGGCTTCTTAAAGGGTTCAATAGAGCAGTTCAAATTACAACAACTTCATGTCTGGAGCTCTGTAACTATCAGTAGTTCTTGTTAAGATAACTGTCTGTTGCACGATAATTTGTATTATACTGTACAAAGAAAGATGAATTAAGTGTTTATTTTACCAAACTGCTAGAGGACAATGGAATTTTGCCATAGTTAAATGATTTATAACAGTCTTGATAGCTCTGCAGCAGCACAATTTCTCTTTAGCATGAAGAGACAAACTTCGTAGAACACACAAGTTCAAGATGACAATGATGTTACCCAGATAACCTTTTATTGCAATACGTATATCATAACAACCACTGCACAGCTTTTTGCTTTTTTTCCCCCTTTTTTTTTTTTTTTTTTTTAAACTTATGTACAACAATTAAGAGACTACAAGAACACGCAGGTTACAACCTCCTGCTATCAGGAAGCCTCATCAGGAATTCAACCAGGACTCAATGCAGAGAAAACCATGCTAATGACTTTATTTTTAAGCCAAAAGGCTGCTTTTTTTTGTTTGCTTTTATCAGACACGAGTAGATCACATCACCATCCTCCCTATTGCTGAGGATTCTTAGAATTTTTAAGAGCTTGGAAACTCTCACCAAAAACCTTTCAGTTTGCTCCTGCACGCTAACACCAACCTGTCTGTCTGCACCAGTTTCTGTCACACTTCAATCATTATCAATTCCAACTGAACTGTGCAGACTGGCTTCTTTTTCCACATCATTTTACTGCTATCACTTAACTTTATGTACTTCCCCCTTTTACCACAAACATGCAGTTTCTCAGACTTGATCTCTTTGGTTCACTCTCCTATGTCAGGTCAGCTTTGTTTGTGGAGATGAACTTCCAGCTTCAATCAACTCCTTGGTCTTTTTCCTCTGTTTTCTTGGTACTTTCCCCTGCTCTACTCATAACAACTGGAAGAAACCTCTGGTCAAAATCAGAATTGTTGCAACATTCTGTGACACAACCTGACTTAGGAAATGAAATTGCTTTCAGACACCATCACCTCATTCACTATTTTTACACTGATAGTCAGCCCTAAGCCATACAATTTCTATCATTATTCCATCCCATCAGCTGTTCTGCCTACCTGCTTGTCAAGCCCACTTGTTAGAGATCATGCTATAGAGTGAGGCTGAAGATGGGAACAGCACTATGTATGTTTCTACAACACAAAGTGCATCTTGACTTGACTGAAGTGTGAAACATTATTAAATAATGATGACTGCAGCAAAACAAAAAACAAACCTGTTTCTAGTAAATAATTAATATTGATTAGATAACACCTGCCTCAGGACCTGGATAAATATCTATTAAAGTAATTTCTTCCCCTATCTTGCAGTCTGATTTTGAAAAATTAGGGACTATTAAGTTTGGGGAAGAAAGTCTCCATGTTTCAGACAGCCTTCCTGCCCAAAGACTAACCTCTCCTCAGGGCCAGAAGCTAGACTTTCTGCCAAAGCTTAACCTGCTGACAGAAAGACTTTGGAAAGCAATTAAGAATAAAAATACACTGTGTATAAAGCAAGATGTCAGACTGCAATAATGAAAGACTGATCTGCTGAAATACAGCAGTGAATAACACCTAAGGATGCATAAAGGTTATTAGTTGCAAACTAATTGCTCCGGTCAGTTTGATTTGTTTGCTCTGTTTAGCGACATGAGAGGCTACCAGCATGTTTTCCTGCAGGTTTTGATCTAAGCACCCCGCTTCATCACACAAGTGATAAACAAGCTCTCCAGTATTAGCAGAGTAATTCCAGGAACAGAGCTGGGTGTTAGATACATCACAGTCGCACAGAAATGCTGAGTGCTGGAAATCTCACCATGATATAGGAAGGAAGAGGAAGAAGGAGAAAATAAAGCACAGCTAATACTGATAGATGATTACTCACTAAAAGACAGAAGTACTCAGGGCAACACTCTTTTTGGTTTTTTTTCCCTAGAAGGAATGTCTGACCGACATCTACAAGAGGTGTTGCCACCTTCCTTTACACCCACACCTGGATACCAAAGGGTGTCAGCAGCTGCTTGTTTCAGCAGAGAAGAAACAGATGAGTTTTCAGTCTACTGGAACTATTCTTTAGGGTCATCTGGAGACAATGAAAGGACAAATGAAGCACTCCCTCCCTTGAAGCTGAGCGTGCAGACAAGTGGAATGTCAAAGCTCTAATCTAACGTCTCCATCTCTCACTCTTTTCGCCCATGGGAGTACAGCTCCAGTAACTTGGTTATCCTTCTGACTGTGTGCAAACACCTGTTCCTTATGTGTCAGGTCTATTTGTCCCAAACAGGAAAGAAAAAGAAAAAAAAAAGTAAAAAATTATTCCCTCTTTCTTTCCAAATCTTCCTAAAACTCATTTAGTCAACTCCACGAGGGCACATGATAGAATGACCTGGAGGTGAAAGGTTCTCATTAATAATATAAATTTGTCTGGTTTTGACTAGTTTGAAATGCCCACTCTCTTTTTTCCTAATTGCAGCATTACCTTGTCATCGTGCCTTTCTTTCTCCATTTATAACCAGATCCCTTAAAGTGCCTCAGGTGAAGGACCTGGCTGGATTCTCATGTATCTTCTTAGCTTAAGGGTGTATCTGTGCTCAGCCCAGCCAGTGTCAGATGTCTGCTCAGCACAAATATCAATAAGCAGACCTCCCACCCTCCCATTCCTAAACGAGAAGAATACAACATCCTGAAATTTCACACTCTTTCAAAACCTGTTTGGGGAGAAGGTGGGTTACATGAGAACAATTAACTTCTAGAGGTCACCGGTACCTATGGCAACTGTTTGTTTTGCTTTCCTCCTCCAGCTATCTGGCTTTGTGTCCATCAGCATCGTATCGGACTTGGAGAAGTGGGAAGATGTGCAGATGCTCGCTGTGCCAGTTTCAGTAGCATACCATTAGCATTTCATCCCTCACAGCGATGTACTGGTGACATAATTAACTAGTGAAACTACACACCTTTAGCAAACATTATAGTTTAGGATAATCAGTTTCTCATTTCAATTAAAAGACATTAAAGGCAAGCAGAAGGATCCTTCTTTAGCTTTACAGCACTTATACTGCTTAATAAAATAAAAACAAGACCTTAAACACACAACCACAAATTAGATTGAAAGAGAAAAAGAATGATCTGTTGGGTTAACGGTGACACAGACACAATGAATGGGAACTTCATCTGAAGCTGCTGTGAGCATTTAAGCCTTCATAAGGCTGGATGTAACCACAGGACTTTAAAGCTGTGATACACGGATCATCAGGAGAGAGAATACAGGCAACCTTAGAAATGCATTCTGAGTATCTGCTAGCAAGTACAGGGTATTTTAAGAGTTATCAGAATAACTACTGGCATTGAGAATTTAACATACATTAAATGCCACAACAAAAAAGTCCAAGTCTGTAAAAATGCATTTCATCAAAATATCTTTTTTCTCAAAAACAAAGAAAAAAAACAAACCAAAAAACTCTATGAAGGAATCTACCAAAGATTACAGAAGGGTACTGTCAGTTGGTGGAATCTGGTGCCACATGAAGTCATTCAGTTCAGCAATGTGGTGAGGTTAAAAATAAATCAGTTGGCTAATCATACAGCCCTGGGGTATCTAAGTCACGCTTACAATCAACATCTTAAGGCAGTATATTAGACTGCACAAAAGAAATGTAATTCGTTGGTGTAAGATCATCAAGTGTAAGTACCAGAACAGAAAACTTTCATGGTGGTCAGATTTGTGAAAAGCATCAGCTATGTCTCAGATTTTTTTACTTTCCTCAAATGCATTTACTCAAAATGCTTATGAAAGAAATGAGATTTCTCATTCAACAGAACAGATTGCCACCACATTAAAGAGAGAGATGAAACAGGAAATAAAAATTACATACATTATAGAATCAAACAAAAGCTGACAAAATGTCTTAAGGCTTAGCAACTGAGAGAAACAGAATTCAGGAGAATAAGCATCCAGAGGAATGTGCAAAACCTCTGCGCAACTGGTGAGAAAGGAATATGGGTTTGTTCATACAGTACTTCAAGAGTACAACACCTGAAACCTTCTCAGACATGAAGGAGTTCATTTTTGTAACATCCCTGTATTCCGAGGAGCTGGTATGAGCTGCATTTTCCTTGACAGAAACAGAAGCATGGACACATAAATCCACTTACGTCTTATTTTGTGTATTCGATCTGAGAGACCTATGCTCTTGTTTTAACGGTATTTGGCATTACATAGCACATTATATACTCTAAAGTAAAGCTCCCACTGACTTGCTGTTCAATGTGCTCAGCACTGTTGTAAATCAAACCCAGCTTTCAAGCTAGGACTCAAATTAATGACCGCCTATAAGAAGTCCAAGTGATGTTGTGTAGCACTGCCTAGGAATGCTATGTCACAGCAAGGACCTCAATCCTGTTCTTAAACTCAGCCTTCTGATGGTCAAACAGAAGTCTATGCTCTTCCTTTCTACCACTGTTAGCCTGTCTGCTGGGTACCTTCCCATGTCTGCAACAAAAAATGCAGTGGTTCTAAAAATCTGTCTCCTTAATTACACATAAGTTTTCTCCTCCTCAAAATCACAGAACAAAAATAGAAGGAAAAGCCATGTTCTGAGATCTGAGAAGTAGCACCTAAAAACTTGTCTCACTGTTAATCTAATAACAGATAGCTTATCTACCTGCAAAGCCTGGGGGAATTTCCTTTTCAAATCAGGCAGATCACGATTGAAACACATCAGAATTCTCCAGAAAGTAAGCAGATACGTTTTATGAACGTTTCACTTCCAAATTTTAACACATCAAATCAGGCAGTTACCACAGGGACGCTCAGCCACAACTTACATTCAAGCCATTTTACCAAAGACCTAGAATGTTTCAAGCAAAAATGACTGAAGCAATGTCTTTCCCCTTATCCTGCTAATAGAACTTACAGAGTTATTTTGATCAAAATTTTACCCACAGCATATATACATACAATATACAATATATATATAAGCACATAGAAAGGAAAGCTGCTACTAAAATACAGTTACGTTATAAGAATTGAAGTCAAATGATAGAAGTTATTGGGTGATCTTTACAAGAGAAAGTATTTATTGTATAGAAAAGTTCTGTGAATGCATGCATGGTATTCAGGATCACAAGTGCAAAGGGCATATACAGCTGGTGCAGAGAATGGAGAGAAAACATGGAAGGAAGGAAGCTGACTCCAAAGAAATGAGGTGAAGAAACTGACAGAAAGCTAACAAAAGAAGGTAAAGAAACCTAGATTACGAGGATGCTACACAAGTCACACAGCAATTAAAGGTGTTAGGATTAAAAAGGATCAATGAGGAGTGCAGACAACATGGAAGACTAACATTAGGGCTTGTTATAACTGTCCAATGGTTTAGATGACAGCATGTGATTAAGGCAATATTTGCTACAAGGATTAATTGAAAACATTATATGGACAAGCCATACAGGTGGATGCACAAAGCCAGCGTAAATAAAAACTAATCTATAAAAGATAACAAAAAAACCAAAGCAATTTAGCTGCCACAGATATTCATTAACCCAGAGACAGATAAATACAGAAACATATTTCAACCTCAGAATGAGTGAAAAAGTGCACAATTAAAAGACATTTGGTCTTTTGTATTTCTGTGCCTGCATTTCTCCTGAAGAAAATCTTTCTGCTTGGGAGTATAGCACTTCAGGGGTCTTCTGACTAAACACATATGCTACTTCTACTACATTAGAGGTTACTACATTAAGAGAAGTTTGTCTCTTAAGTCAAAGTAATTTCCTTTCTCTGTAATAAAGGAGGATTAGAGACATTTCAAGATTATTATTTTTCTAACCTGATCAAGTCTTGGATTCTGCTGCTGAAGGCTTCCACTTGTGAGGATTTGCTTTTCACTTCCTGTATTATCTTCAGTGTTGTAGAGTGGTTGTTCCCATCTGGGAAGCTGGAGATTAGGCACCTGAAAATCACAGCTGTTATCCTCAGGAGCCCCGTTGTTAGACCTTCAAACACCTGCTTATTTGCACTTCTTCCTGAAGTAGCATTATGGTCATCTGGAACATTAACCTAAGTAAAAGGGAAAAAAACCCAACATTTATAATTCAGTAAGAACTGTAGAGAAACACATACGAGTAGAACAAAATACAATAGTGAAGTCTAACAGCGCTGAGAGACATTCAAATATTTCAGATATAAGAAAGGGTCTATATACTCCTATACAGATATCATCATTTAAAACTGAATAAATCAAGTCAAAACTGAATTCAGTGTTTAAGAACCTAAGGAAACTCTACAGCAGCAGGGTATGTCATCAATATGGTTCTTGTGTAATACATACACTGAAGTTTTGATGAGCAACTAGCAAAGAAACCTTTTCTTAAAAAAACCACTGAACTGTGAATGTGGACTTTGATTTCAACCCTGTGTCATCACAAAGACATAGTACATATCTAGGATACACCAAGCATTGAGTAACAAGGTGCAGCAACAGCTCATTTCTGTGGAAGGAACAGCCTTTAGTATTGCACAGTAATCCTCTACTTGACTTTGGACAAACGCAATGTATGTGCATCTAAAAGAGCACACTGAAATACCTGACAGTAGGTACAGAGTACCATGGGAGGCCACAGGGGGTATCACTGGGTAGTGATAACAAGGTACAGTGAGGAATGCAGGTTTTTGGTTTGTTTTTTTTTTCCAGTCTGCAGGGAGGTAGCTTTTACATGCCTGAATTCAACAACAAATTACAGTAACTGTGGAGGCAAACTAAGAGGGTAATACATAGCTGCCTGAAGCCAGTAAAAGAGGGGAACCTTAACTGCATCCAAGCAGATGAATTACAGTGGATCCACATCACAAGTGAACAAAAGTCCTGACAGATTTTCTTCTAGCAAGTATCAAAACTTCTAGCAGTTTAATACTACAGTTAATACCCCAAGTAGGCAAGTATTTCAAAGACTGAAGGACTCCTCAAAGGCAAGACCACCTCCCTGAAAAAACTGAAAAAGAAAACAGAAAACGATATCCTGGGAAGACAGAAAGAGTTGCATGAATTCCAGGCATAACCCAACATATAAGGAACATCAGAATGGACAACATGGAGTAACACAGTTCTGAAATGCACAGCGGGCTGCAGGAAGTTTTATTCTCATTCCAGGTTAAAATCATTTACAGCCAGTATAAGCAAGCGAGGTCACAGTAAATTGCTTCTCCCTGTATAGGTATCAGGAGGGATTTGGTAACACTTGGTGACAAAGAACAACATGCACATTTTTTCATTATTCATGAGCTCCGAGCCTTGTGCCGGTACTTAAAGCTCAGAGCAATAGTCTGCTTCTGGTGGTGAGCCAAGAGAGCAAGTGAGAAGCCTTTAGCAGCTTATTCAAGTTCAATAGGAAAAATAATATTATGTTGCTTCAGTAACTTCTGCTGACTGAAACAACTCAGGCCTAATGATTCTAATTGCCTGCTGAATAGATGGATTAAGGTTTGTAACGTATAAATTAATTCTAATGTGTCAACCTGTACTAGGAACATCAGGCTTTAAAACACGGCTAACAAATGCTACTCAGAGCTTTTTCACCTAAGATGAAAAAAAAAGATATATAATCTCTCTTAAAAGATTTAACAATATATTGTAGCAAAGCCTTCCAGCTGCTGTGATGAATAGTATTATATAAACAGATGTCTATTTTTCTCTTCTAGTTAAATATATTTACATAGAGCATACAGTTCTCATATACATAAGTATGGAGTCCTTAGTTATACAATTCATGCCTCAGTATAAAACCATTCTTACTAATTTGAAGAATAAATACATCTGACACTCTTACTACAATCTAACATTTCTCACAGAGCTGATTTTTCACTTTTCATTTTTTGGGAAAAACGTGTAGGTGGATGAACACAAAGTGAGAACAAATGTGGTTTTTACCCAGTCTGTGACATAGAGGAGGTGAAGGGGAACTGTTTTAAAGAAAATGGGTAAATTTGAACTTTGTTCCTACCTTATTTTCCTTTGGAGTGAACTCACTCAGTGACAAAAGATCAACTCTTTATTGTAGAAGTAATTAACAGAATAGTGTGAAAGCATGTTGAGATTTATGTACAACATTAACTGGGATGCTTGCAAAAGTGATGTACTGCTGCATGTTAATCATTATATCACGTAAGGGGGTAGGAAATCTTAAGATTTAATAGTATAATTGTGAAACCTTTCAAGCTCTGCCTTCCGTGTTTGATTACAATAGAAATTAATGGTGTTCATAAAAACCACTGTTTGTTGAGCATAGGCTTTGGATAAGCAAGCATTACAGAACTTCCTATTTTTATTTGTGAGGTCTAAGAGGCCTCATAGTTTAACTGTCAAAAATCTACAAGTAACATTACCTACCTAAAGCGACCTGTCAAGTGATTGGTATCGTAAATGTTTCAAGTACAAAGGAAGAAGAGGAAAAATGCCTTCAGTTATCTGACAGATCCAACATCTCATCACTATTGTAATGTTCATGATGACTGTCAATGCCAGATGTCATAAAAACTCTTACTTGCTTTAAAGCAGTTTTTGAACCAATATGGTCTAATGAGCAGATTTCCAGCTCTGGCAGTCTCCATAAAAGCAATCCAGTAGAGAATTCCCATTGTGTAAGGGAATCCCTTGCTTGTGTAGAGCTGCTGTAAGCTCTTCAGCTGCGCCCAGCATCTAGGATTTAATCCTGCAAGATGCTGAACAACGTGGCCCCAATCCAGTAAAGCACTTAGGCACACATTCAATATAGCTGAAAGTGCTATTCGGTTCTGACTCATGCCACTGCAAGTACCCCTGTGTATCAATGTGCATTTCTTTGTGCTAACAAAAATATACTGTTTCCAGTTAGCACCACAGAGCTACCACTGAAAACTCATTTGTGCTTTTATTTTTCTCGTAAAAAGTATAATCCTTCACAGCCACGAGATGCTTCAAATATTGAGCCATTAAACCTAAATGGAAAGATCTCCAGCCTTGTAAAACACTCCATTTCTAGTCATCACTGGGCTTGCTTCTAAAACACTCCAGAAAATGTATACCTTCAAACAGTATTGAATATTGGATTTTCAGTGTAGCAACTACCAAACTAAAGAAATGGAACCTGCCCAGGAAGAAAAAAAAATATATTTTTTAAATGTATGTAATCATTTCTTTTATCCTAGCCCTATTTTCAACTGCATGCTATGAGACTCATGCACTGGCTTCCCAACTGAAGCAAATGAACAGAAACCAAATTTTTGGTCTTTCCGAAATTACATTATTAAAAGGACAGACAGATGTTGTTCTTTTTCACACTGCCAGCATTGTCTGAATTGCTTTAGAAACAGCCCAACATGCAGAGCTGACATCCAGCTGAGGCACTTTTCTGACGACTTCGATACTGCTAGGTGCTGCTCCTTGGATCTCCAACAGAGGGACAAGGGGGTTTCTCAACCTCTAAGTGATCTGGCAGCTAGTTTCTACACAGCCTCCACACAGACAAAGAGAACTGTTGGTACCACCGTGCCCAAGTGCTATGGAAACAGAAAGGAAGTTCAGAATGGACCGGAAGGGTCGAGCAGCACATCTCAGTGCCTGGGAGTTCACAATTCTGGTCACAGTCAGAGCAAGCGAACATGAAGTCAACTTATTTGCTGCAGAATACAAGAGGGAAATGTGCAAACGAAGAAATACAATAGAGCAATAAAACAATTAAAAACATCTTCATTTTCTGATTAGTATGGATTTGTATTACAGCTTAACTGATAACAACAGATATGCTAGGATGGAAAAGATCTGAGCGAGCCAACAATAACTTCTAAGTGTTTTTACTGGCTAAGATGTTCTCAAAAGCTTCTGGACATTTCCCTTTGATCTACCTGAGAGCACAGCTAGCAAACAAACCATCACATCTTTCATGGATCATCAGGAAACCATGAAAGTACAGGTATCTGAAATAGACAGAACCCCAAAATGCTTACTAAACCATCACTTACAGATGTAGGTACAGAAACATACGGTTTGTACAGATGGCTTTTCCAGACAGCAGCATGGAGAAGAACTTGACTAGTAAAAAATCCAACCAAAATAAGAAGCTAACTGTACACACCTACAGTTCCATGTAACTGTTTGTCTCTGACAGAGTACAGCCTTCCAAAATACACAATTAGAAAAGGTTTTCATTATTTTGCAGCTATCATCAATGCTCAGGAGACAAGGAAGAGCAGAGATAGCAAGTCTGTAGAGAAATGAAGTTACTTCTTGACCATCAGCCTCCCACGAATGTAGACAGGAAGGTTTGATGCAGTCGCCTTTCAAAGTTGGAGCCTGGCTGCTACTGACTTCAGTGGGCACTGACTTACACATTACCTGAGCTGATAAGAAGGCTCAGAAAGGCAAAATGATAAGTCATGTCTATAGAAGGTCTAGGAATGAGGTAAATTGCAGGAAGAAAGGTCTAATAGCTTTTAATAACTAGCTTGAGCAGGCTGGAGGTCACAAAAAAAAACCCCAAAAAACAGAACAACAAAAAACCCACCCCAAACCCACAAATCTCTACAGTTGATTCCCTATCAGTTGCCCAGCTCACACTGGGAGGAGAAAAAAAAGAACCAAACAAAAATGAAACAAAACTAAACCCCCCCCAACTTTCCCACAGGAATAAATATATATTACACTTCCATAAAGTAAGTGACCATCTTAAATTCAAATATTTGAAGTGCATAGCTTTGAGTTTTAGGTAAAATGAAGCTGACATTGCATTACATTTTGAGATTTAAAAACAAAACTAAAATCTAACTATATTGCATCAAAGCGAGGTTGGTATTTGCTGCATTTAAGAATATTTTTAAAGCCTTTTCAAAACTCAAACCTTTCTGTACACAGCAAATGTTAGCACATATTCAATAATTTGTTAAAATCTTGCAGCTATATGTTTTTTTTGCTTGTTTGTTTGTTTTTTACAGAGTATTACTTGGGGTTTATTATGGGAATATACACGAGACAGGAAGCATAAGCATCACAAGCATCACACAGCTCACCAAAGCAGTTAAATTCTTTGGAGGGCTGGCCTTTATATCCTGGCATTCAGAGCCTGATCCAATTAAAAGAAGTGCTTTCCATGTGGCCTTTTTTCTTAGAAAAGGAAAACTGAAATTTGATCTGAGTTGTATTTTTGAGAGAAGAAATCAGGGTTAGGGAGGTAGGGCTGTAGTTATTTATTTTTTACTTAAATACATATTTCATGGAATGATGATTTCTCAGTTCAAGGGCCAATTTTGCCTGAAGAGAACACAGAAGACTTTGTGCACAGGAAAGAAAAGTCCACTGTGGGTCAAGGGGAATTTTATGCTTTAGTTCCAGTTTTGTTGCAATCCAACAGCAGTATTTGGCAGCAGGCTGAGAGTACATCTACACATTGTAAATTCCCTCCGTGCAGTATTTCTGATCTCCAGGTGGCCGACAGTCTAAGAAATACCCTCCGTATTCATTCAGAAGAGGTTCAGGCCATTTACACAGAGCCGTGCCGATAAAAGGGAAGGTGTCTGGCATCAGAACGAATCTTGTCACTTGCAAAGTGCTGGAGGATTTCATCTCTTTGTAATTAAGCAGGGAGCCTGTGCTCTGGCTCGCCCTGCAGACAGCGAGCAGTGTTGTGACTGGCCCAGCACAATACATGCACCTTTCACTAAGTATATTTGAAATCTAATACCTGGAATCCTCTTGGAAAGATTTGGTGGAGAACAATGAGCTGGCAGCTACTTAGAGGACACCATACAGGTTGCATTCCTGTTTTCTTTGTTTGTGCCAAAGGCCTTTGGACCATCTTTTTTAAGTGTTCATCAGCAGTCCTATGGCTTGTGAGTCTAACAGCGTCATTTGAATTATTTAAAGTACGTACATAACTTTTCAATTAACAAACTGCTTGGCTCATGAAAATACATACACACGATTTATAAGTAGAAAACCAGGACTAAATATCTTATGATGAGCAGGTCACTATGAATTAAAAATGAGTTTTCAAATAAAATATTTAATGACGTTTCAAATTAAATGAAACATTGGAAAATTAAAACCTTCACTGTCAGAGGGTCCTGCTATTGAAACACCTCTGCAAATTCAGTTAACAGCAACATACTGAACTGCATTGTGCTTTCCATGTTGAAACACATAAGAGCACAGCAGACATGAACAACTTATAGCATTCTATACATTAGCCATTGCCACAGGCTGCATTAAAAAAGAAAGCCCCAGAATGGGTTAAGATTGACACACTGTCCACTCTCCAGAGTTCCCAGTGTGCGTGCTTCTGCAGAATTCATTAGCAGCACAGAGTATATCCATTTGTATAGAAGTACAATACATGTAGTTTACCAAATACACACAACAGAAGAACCTTACTTTTCTAATTGGAGCTTTATGATCATAGTGGTCCTTCTCAACACAGGCCATTCTATGAGCCTATGATCTCTTGGAGCTCTTACACTGCAAATACTGTAATATGTTTGTGAAAGAGGACAAATTTCTACGTTACATCTATTTTACATACCGTAAACTGGTGCATCAACAAGTCCATTAAAAAGGTGATCTTGTTACTAAAAAGAATATAGGTGCAGTTTTCCGTACAGTTATTGCAGGTGAGTCCATAAGCATTTACTGTACTGCAGAGAGACCTAAAAAATCAGGAGGAGAGAAAGAAAAATAAATGGAAGAACATGACAAAACAATATTTCAGTAATTTACAATTGTTCGTCTAAACTTGAAACTGAATATTTAAATGAAATAAGGGAAAAAAATAACACCTTACATGTTATGCAGCCACATTTAGCAGAACTCCCACAGTGTGTGGCTACCGGACTCTTCTGTGTTCATGGTTTACATCCTAATGACATGTCTTGGAACATACAGTTTGAAAAGCTTGAACTGCCTTGTGATATCTGTTAACTTCTTTTTATTAAGAACAGCTATGCACATGCATTCTTAGCAAATGCACACATGCATTCGTAGTACAAATCTAACACAAATTATGGCCGTGCTGCAAAGGCATAGCAGAGCTAAGGAAATTAGCTGATAATTATGTATTACTGTGTAATTGGGATAGGCAATATTCTTTTCTTCTAGCTTATTGGGAATTGGGGTACAAGGCCCCTCTTCTTAGCACAACCTTCAGGAGCAATTCATAGTATCCTGGGACCAGCTTTACAGAGGAGCATTTCTGCAGCACCTATGGACAAACGTAAGCAACAGGGAGCACTGAGTAGCTTAAACCAAGAAAGAAGATCTGAGCAGGTGAAACGCCTGTCCAAAAACTTCTACTGACATACTGTGAACTGCACAAGCTTTAAGCATCAGTGTGCAACTACAACAGCACCATGTGATCTACACCTCTGGCTGCAGGAAGGGGTAACAGGTTTGCCATAGAAAGAACAAAGTGTGAAACACAACAAGCCACTGCAAGCTCCAGGTACACCAGACACATCCTGCTACTCTCCCACATGTGGTACATCTGCACAGACCCCCAGCGCTCCCAGAACAGGACGTGTAGGGAAGCTGGGACCAGTCCTACAAAATACACTCAGAGACAAGAGGAATGTGACCAAGGATAACACTGTTCCAGAATAAACACAGAATCAATCTGTAGAACTCTGCTTCCCACAGAAGCAATCACTATTCTTATACAAATACGCACACGGACACCCCACACAAAAGCATCATAAATATATACAATAATAAATAAAGATGGTTAGCAACTCGAGTTGTTTGTCTAAAGGAAACTGAAAAGTATCATCAGTATTCTGGCATCATCTTTTTCTCAGCTTGAGAAACAATTCTGGACTTACAAACGCATTACTTCACTTGGTTTGATCTGTGAAAGTGCAAGGAACACCAACACCTTTCCTGTGTCAATATGCCAATTATCACCACATCACCAACTCTGTACGTTTTACTGTAGAGGTAATTAACTTTCCTGTTCTGTCTAATCAAATCAGTTACAATATGCAGTTCACATCATATGAGCACAACATTAAACCATTATTTATTGATAAGAGTGGTTAATTTTTGCCCATTTCACCTGATTTTTACCCGACAATTATAGCATTCAAAAATTCAATTAGCACGCTTCATATGCTTTTTTTTTTTTTTTTAAACATATCCTAATTACATAAAGATATTTATTTCACCCTTCTCAACAATAGTGAAAAAACATTAATTGACTCAGACTTTTTGTGGATGATTATTCCCTGGGTGGGTGAGTGCTTGCATGGGGCAGAGAAAGATGAAACTACATCAGTGCATCAGTTGGGGTTTTTTTTCCAGTTAAAATAAAAGGTGCTGATTTTCTTTTCACCAGCTATTCCGATTTAAAAAAATGATTAATTCAATTTAAATATAAACACTGCAGGATCAGGTGGGGCCTTGGCAGGTTAACTCATCGTTTCAGCAGGGCTGCAGGGTTTGTGACACAATGCAGCTAATTCACAACGTTTCTTGGTTAGATGGGATTTTCAGAACTGCAAGGAGGAGCACTTATTTTCCATTTGAACACAGAAACTTCCCACTTACTGAAGAAAAATCAACTGCGATAATGCATCGTGCTTTTGTATTTCCCAAATGAATCCTATGTCAGAAAAAGTATCTGAAATTTCAGAGGCTTAAATAATGGTTTTGAAAAGGTGCTTGAAGCAAATGGATGTCAAATTAATTTTTCACAACAATAAAGAAGGTTCTTTTAATTGTAACATAAGCTTGCTAACTGCGTTTCGTTTAAATGCATTCTGCTCATGGCACGTTCTGAACTATGACTCAGTTCCACTGTTTTCTCCAAATTCAGAATTGGAAGTGTCAGCACAGAAGCTGTCCCCAGGTGGTTTGCAGTGTTAAATGGCAGATTACAGGCAGCACAACTAATTTCTTTACTTTAATCTTATTAAGGGCACAACAGCTGTCAACTGTCACCATTTCTGCACAAGGCCTCCGAGACGAGCGCTGAGAGCTGCGAATGTCAAGCAAGAACTTTATTTAACCACCAGCTCAGCTCTCTGGGACGGACAACTAAAAAAGCAGCTCGGCTGTTTTTGCTTTTTTCCCTCTTCCTGTCTCAAGCTCTGATTGCTCCTCAGTACAAATCTCGTATCTCAAGTGATGGGTACTGCAGCTGAAATGGAAGAGTGTGAGCTTCACGCACAGCGCAGCTGTTTATCGATCACTGATGTTGCACTAAACTTTGTCCCTCACCCACAAATCAGCTTTACAGCCGTGTCAGACGGCATGCACGCTCCAACCGCATAATAAGTCTACCCTCTGATGTAGGGCTTTCCTCCTGAGTAAATCCAATTAGAGAAACACTCCTCCTTCTGGTACACAAACTTTGATCCAATAGAGAAATCTGTCTTAAAACTAGACAAAAAAACGTGCATCTGTGTAATATGTTCATTTCACATGAATACAAAGAAAGAGGACTCATTTTACCCAATATCTTCAAGCTAGATCCCAACCATTTGTGTGTACCCATGTGGATTTCATGTCTGCCAGTGCACCTTCACTTTCCCAAATGCACGCCATCATAAACAAGCTGACGAAGGCTACCTTTCATTCCAAACCCTGTTTGGAAAGGTTGCTGCCTGTTGAGGCAACAACAGTACCCAGCCACACAGAACTGAGCCACCCTCCTGCACCACTACATAAGGGTGAGGAGTCAGAACTTCTGCTTGAGAGAAACATCAGCACTCTGACTCTTCTCTTAACAAAGCAATCAGCTGAGAGCAGTGGAGGAGAGCTGCTGCTGAAAACCAGTGAGCAGAATGACTGCACGATGGTAAGAAGGGCAAAAGCTCACTTGATCTTGATTTTCAGTACGAATACAGACTGTGAAAGCAGGGGCCTCACGATCCAGGGTAAGAATTTGGATTGAAACAAAAATAAGTAAAAAATGAAGACAAAAAGCCCAGCCTTAGGTTGGTCCTTTACTCTTGGGTCCTATGATATCAAAAGGAACCCTCAAAAGCATTGGAGGTTCACAATCAGTAACTATTTTGTATGTATTTTACATTATTCAACGCTTCAGCTGCAATGTCTCATCACAATTAGCAGAGAAGGCAAAGCTCAGCAACAATTCTCCTTCAAGACACTTCCAAGAACTCATCAGATTTGTCCTGAAATGGTACTCTACTTGTGAAAAACAAAACCAACATCCTAAACAACTACAACTTAACTATCACACAACAAGTAATGGTCAAGCCATTCCTCTCCCCTAGTGTTTATAAGTGTGACAGAATCTGAAAGACCTCCACAGAAATCCTCCTGTGTTGGTTTATCAGTTACTTCACTACAAGATTAGGATCTCAAGTCAAAATCTACCTAGCAGTTCACTACTTTTGGCAATAAAGCTTGTTTCTGTATTGTGTGGTAGGACAATAATGTCTTGGTTTTGAGTGCTGCGAGTGGGACATCCAGCCCTGAGACAGACAGCAACAAGATACTGCAGAAAAGAGCCAGATGCTGCAGGTTTCAGATGCTGATCTTGCAGGGAGGTCCCTCTTCTGACTACATGTCCCTGTACTTTCAGTCTTCAGTGATTGTTTAGAGGGATAACTGCAGGAGAAGATACAGAAGTGTGTTTTCCAGTTTGGGTTGAAAGATTTGTGAACAATTCGATAGAAAAGCAGGAGTAGTAAAAACCACCAGCACAGGTTGGCTCCTTTAGTGAGTGTTCATAAAAGGAAAAATTACAAAGAACAAACCAGAAACAGTTCTCAGCTCAATACCTTCTTTTCTTGAAAAATCCCAACAAAATAACAACTGCTTGTGTCAAGGCCATCTATGGTACCATGCAGGTACTTCTACCTTCTGCCACAATAGCATCCACTTTAAACAAATATTAAGAGAAGCTGTATGCATAGAGAACATAATAAAGACAATTTCCATCATGTCTTACATAGTAGTAGCTGTCCTAATGAACAAAGGGGGACTGTCTAATTTGTATGTGAAGTGCTGGCTTCCTAAAGAACTCAAAATACTTTGCAAGTGTGAATGAAACAAATCCTACACAAAAATCCTTGTTTGTTGGCAGATTTGCTCCAATTGTCAAGGGCAGTAAGAAGGCACAACACGAAGGGGCTGAGTTGCCCACAGTGTATATGAAAGGCAATGCGGGGATGTGAATCGTGTTCTGGTTTTGATCGTAAGTCATGAAATTGCTTTATGGAGTTCCTACTTGCTTTTCCATACAAGCATAAGGAAAATACCATAAAACTCTGAAACCACTTGAAATTCTGCTGAGCGTGCTGAACGTGAGCAAACTCAGGAAGATTACAAAATGCTACTTTAAGAAATAAGGCAGCTGAACACTAATTTGTATGTTAACATCAGTAATAAAATCAACTGTAATCCATTGCTTTCCCTTTTCTTTCTTCAGTGCTTTATTTGAAGGGAGGAATACTGTTGGGACACCACATGTATTATCTGTCTCATAAATGTCACATCTTTTCACGGCATTTGCTGCCCTGCTAAGTCTAACTACCAATCTGGACAGAGGTACAAAACAACAGGCATATTGTTAAATCTTTGATAATAAAGCTTTATCCTGTAGACATGGGATTAAAGTTCTGAGCTGCACCATACTGCCAGGATTTTGGAGAAAGAGAGATGTAGATAATAGCCCATGTAATCTCCTCACCTACTTGTAAATAGCTTAACCTCAGCACAAAAAAACAGACACATTCCCAGTTTGAGTACCAATGGTTAAATGTACATGAGCATGCAAACAATCATAAGGCCAGCAGCGTCCTTCAGCAGAGCATAGCTGGCCAAAGGAAGACAGGAAGGCAATTAATGAAAGGTCTTAATTTAACTCGCCTCCACAGAGCTTTGCTTCACCTCTATGCAGAAATAACTGCTGCTTCATTTCGTTCAAAATATGTTTTTCTATATGAGAAAGAACATCACTGAAATCAACCACAGAGGGTCTGCACTATGTGCAGCAATACCAAGTTCGCTGTGACGCCCCCAGCATACGTTATGCTTTCCAACTCAGTTTTCAATGTATGTAAAAAAATAAGTCTTTGCTAAAATAGTTTATCCTTGGAAACAACATGGAGTATCTTACTGCTATTTTGCAGCATGTCATCTTGAGAAGCAGTAATGATAGAATGCAGTAGAAGTCTAGCAAATATGAGCAGCAATCACGTGAGTGGGAAAGTTTACTAGCAGTGATTAGGCCCACAAAAGCATGAATCACACACGGCATGATGACTGAGAACAGGTTTTGCTGAAGAATTAAGATGCCCTGAAATCCTATTAGTAACTTTGAAAACTTTGATTTCCTTGTCATTTAAACATTTTCACCCTATTGTTAGGGCAGCACAAGGAGATGAATAGCAACAGACTTTTGCATTTAATAGTAAGCTCTACAATACACATTAAGTACAACATTAAAACCCCTCGCACGGGGAATTGGATTGACTCTGACTTCAGCAACTGTTTCTTGGAAGAAACGTCACCCACTGAAAAATTATGATCATAGCTAAAAGTGTGCTGCACTGCATATAGAAGCCCAAACAGTAGGCTAGCAGAACCTATATAAACCTCTCCCATATGTTTGTTCACATAGAAACAGCTGAAGTTTGACACCGTGGCTTAGTGTTCTGTTATGAAAACTGTATCTGGAAAAGTTAAGTCTGCTCCTTTTATTCACGTGTCAAAGGCACAACAGGCAAGTTCCAAGTGCCATTGATGTAACAGTCTGAATAAAATCTGCCACACGTCCAGCTACTTCATCTACAACTCTGCCAACAGAGAAACAAAACCGTCCCAACTAAAAAAACAAAAACTAGTAATAACTAGCAATCTTCATTCACAACCAAGCCTGTGGGCTGAAAGACCCAGCTGGTGAGTGGGCTTTGTGCTCCTGGCCTCAGCAGCACTGGCACTGACTTAAAACATGGATGGGGAAGGGAACAAGGCTGCTAATGGGTTTTGCAGCTACAACCTTGAGAGCTAGAAGCTCTCTTTGAGTACCAACACAACATATGAAGATAATCTAGAGATGGAAGCTGGCTCCTTGTAACATAAGAGATAGCACAAGTTTTAGGAGGTCACCAGAGAGGTCTCTGCAATTTGTGTTTTGTTTATTTTTTGTTTTTTTAATTTGTTACATATTCTAGGAACCTCAAAGAACAGCACAGTTGTTGTACTTAAGGAAAAGGTAAAATTTTTCTTCATTTCTTTAGTCATTCGCACTGACAAACAAGGCATTAAACTGGAAGGATGCTGTCTGAACATTTAACTTACTCCCAGCAGCGAGTGGAACTTTGAAAGCGTTTTCCAATCGTTCATAAAAGGCAGGCTTTGTATCTGAGTCATGAATGGAGCAAAGCAAAGGTGCTCCGCAGCCTTGAGAAAGCAGGAAATGGAATATAACAGCATTAGCTCTACTACTTTCCTTCTTTAGGAAACAGAAGTCAATTTAACCTCATGTTGTGCTTGTTCCTATATAATATCTGTAAGGAAATTATAGCTTTTTTTTTTTTTGTATGCTCTTCTGTAGCAGGAATGAATGAAACCATATCAACTGCATTCCCCAAATGCAAGCAGTTCTGCTTAAAGCTATTTTATTTCTGTTTGCAGTAAATCTCACACTAGAGCTTAACAGAATACATTGTTAATTGAAAATACAGCATGCCCCACTGTAAGTAAACAGTGATCTTAATTTGAGGTCTAAGCTCTGGCACAAGATCATCATTTGGTACTCCTCCAAGTCACAAACACTTTGGTCGAGAGGTCAGTACAATTACACTGTTTTTTAAATGCTTCCTTACAGATTGAGTATTATTTTTCATTCTCCCAGGTGCTGCTGAGCACTGTAACATCAATTCAGGATCAGAGGAACTGGGTGGACTCACAGGAAGTGCATTCTGCATGAACTACAGGGAATGGAGGAATTTTATTCTTTTCGAAGAGCAAAGTTAGGATATTAAAAGCACATTTTTTTCCTAGGTGCTCTTTCCTAGCACTTCATATCTGGTCCATAATATATTACTGGCCATTAAAGATCCAAAACCACACAACGCAGCGCTTACATTCAAATCATTAGAATATCAACTTAAATCTACAAAGGAATTGCAACAATGGCACACAGCAGAACATTTTAGACTCGGTCGCTCTTGTACAAAAAGCATCTTTAGCTCTTTTATAGCACAAATGGAATTTTTAGGGATTAGACATTTCAACCCTTCTACTCTTACGTGCTATGAAGAGTAATTCCTCTAATCCACAAGAATTTGGATTTACTTGTTTGTAGGAGCCCTTTCATCTAGCACTATCTCAAAACAACTGCTTCACTTTAAAAGTCTCACAGTAAGGGAATGAGAAGCCCTGGACTGAAAACCAGAGGTTGAGTGGAAACGTCTTTCACCTTTCATGGCAGCACAAAATAGAGCGTGACTATTTTTTTTTCCTTCAACACTGTAAGAAGGAAGCAGAAGCAGCGAAGCAGATGTTAAATGAATATTCAAGTGATACTAAATGACAACGGAAGGACCAATCATACTTACTTAAAAGGAATCCGTGAAGCTGTGTTCAGATTGGTGGGAGCAGTCATTGCTTGAAGAATGTGCTCCAAGGCAGTCAGTCCTCCTGCAGCCCGAAACGCTATCTGGTCTGCTGTGTTCTGCAGAAACAAAATCACAGCAGAGAACCCACAGAAACGTTCAGAAAATTCGTGCATAAGCCAGGTGCCTGGAAGACAACCGGCCTGAGATGTTGTGTCAACACAGGAAATGTTTAATCCATGCATTTATCATGATGAACACCTCTGAAAAAGGGCAGTGAGATGCCAGTACACAAAGAAGAACGTTTTTCAGAAGGCACAGGAACAGAAATTCTCATGTTATGGTCTCAAAGGCAATACAAACGTACCACGTGCTATTATTTAGGTAACATCTATAGACTAATACCATAAATATTTTCCATAAGAACACACTGTTGTAGGGATTTCACAGAAGTCAATCTTTACCTATTGCTGTTACCTTTGTAGTTATACTCCAATGCTTTTTTAAAGGATTAAGCAAACATGGACCATCTCTAGATGGGTATTTCCTCTTTCTTATATGCTTTTCCAAAAGGAAACTATCTCCAGGCTCGTTCCTTGACGTGGTTTATGTACGCATAAAATTGCTTATGCAGATCACTTTAAAACATGAGTGCCATCATTATGCTGATGAAATCCAGTTACGTATTTCAAAGCATGGGAACCCCACAAATTCAGTCCCTTGTCTGGAAGAAAGCCTGGCAGCATCACCAGGCAGAGTGCCAGTTACTAGAAATGCTCTCTGACAGATGCTGCTGAGGATATGAGCTGGTTAGCTCTTCTGCCTTCTCAAATTAATTACCTGGAGTTTGGGAATCAGGTTAAAAAAAAAAAAAAAAAGGACATCATTTTGGTAATGCTTCAGTTATGGGAAACTACCTAAGATTGAAAACGTCACTTGACTGGTGCAGGTTCTCTCTTCTTTTTCCCGTCAGGCGCTTAGCAAGTAACAGCAACTCAAAATTATTACCCTTTCAGATCTTTTGTCACATTCACTGCTTGCACCTTATTGAAAATGCACCCAAATTAATCAATGCTCTTGGATTTGAAGTATCACATTTGCTTTTGGTTTGTTCTGCATTCATCATGCTATTGGTGTTGCTTTTAAATAGATTCCTTGAAAACTAATTCTGTACATAGTCCTAGCATTACAGATCAGCTTCTTATTCTAGGGGTCCCCTTTGTGCTTCCACTTAACAGGATTTCACACCAAAATGCCATTTTGCCATCACTGTTACAGTCTGTAAACGTTACTAATCGATGCTCATCTGCTGCTGTGTTACCTTGTATTACCACTGACCTGTATGATAAAATACAACACTGTGTCTGTGTTTGCATGCAAGACCTACTGGAATCATTACAGCTTTCACTTTTGTAGCTCCAAAGGCACAGAGCAGATCAAGCACCATCTCAGTATGAAAAATGACAGATCCTGTTGGGAGACAACATTAAGTCCCCCTATTTGGGAAGAGCACAAACCAGTATGGCACACCTCTGCTGCCTGAAAGAATGCTCCAGTCTACTAACTTCACCTCTGGAATTACTTAGCTAGACGCTCAGGAAAACTGTCTCAATTTCCCTAAAGAAACAGCTCTTTGAGAATGCCTGCATACTTCTGTGGGAGATTTATTTAGCAAAACAATCAACACAATGGGGCTCATGTTTGTTGAACAGAAGAAAACCCCACACGTTTGTCGATTTTTAACAGTGGAACTTTTTGGCCTTGCACATTTTCAGAAATACAACAATCTCTAAAACCATTTTCATACATCTCAATCATAGGTACAGAAGGATGCCAAAGCTTTCACGCTGCCCAATAATAAGCAGGAGATGAGGCAGAAAAACCACATGGAAAAATTATTATTGCTGTCATTCAGGCATTTCTTAACAGAGAGAGGAAGAGGCACAAAAGATGCCACCTACATTTGTCTTACACATTACAGAAATAACAACAGAGATGAGGCCTTCAGAACCAATGATGTCGCACTCAAAACTAATGTAAGAAAAAGAAATCTCGTTTTCCCTGCATTTCAGAAGTCTCTATCAGTGGGAAATGCAGCAGCCTGGTTTGTACAGGAAGAATGGTGACACAGCTGAAGTGATGGTAAGTATGAATCTGTAATTTTTTGGATCATTACGCACTTGTCATTTAAAGCACGTGGCTACCAGCTTTGACACAGCAGCATACTCATCATGCATCTCTACACACTAATGCACAGGTGGCAAACTGAACAGAAATGACCATAAACACGATGTAACAATCTTTAGGATTAACTAATAACTAAGCATTTCAGCAAACTTCTACAATTCACCTTTGTTTTTTAATGTTGTCAGACAATCAGGAAAGCTCCCTGCATAACAAGCGAGCATGGCTGACTTATTTTCCTACCTGTTACAACACCTTAATGGATTTGAATTCTTCTTCTGCTCTCCTATGGCTTGAGTGACAACTGACTAATAGGATTACAGGCTCCGTTCCAATAATACAGCTCAGCAACATGCCAGCGAAAAATGACAGCCTAAACCTGAATTACATGGCCTGGGAATCCATCCAATTATTAACTAAAGTAACTGTTATTACCTAACCTAATCAAAGGAGAAGCAGCTGTTAATCTTTGGTGGCCTGCAGTGTAGCAGCGGTCAGGCTGGATGAACCGTCTTTGTACTTGACTCCTCTACAGACAATAATTATGTCCTTTGTGATCACGAAGGAAGGGCTTCCTAACCTTTCAGACACAGGCAGCAGATGGGGAACAACTAACTGTGTTCATTAGCAAGACAGGGCAGATTTTATCAGGGTTTGGCATCTGTGGCACCTTTGGAAACACCACTTACCCAATGATACTGGCAGGTCTGGCAAATTCAAAAACGAGCAGGCTAAATACAAAGTTCAAAATAACAACTTCATCTTGTTATCTGACATTTGGTAAAGAAAAATAAACACAGCTAAACCAAGCTGTTGACATACGCTCCTCGTCACACCCAACCGCCCTGCTCAGATACACAACATAGAAATACACAACACAGAAATACGCAACAGGGCCAAGCGACTCGTGCTGGTACGTTGCTGGGTTTGGCCTCACGCATCAAAGAAGCTAGATATATAAACAGCATGGCTATGAAACAAAATCAAAATGGGAGAGATCTCTGAGTTACTTACAAAAGCAGGCACTGACTGACATACAGGGAGCATCATTCACCAACACCTGTTGATGCCTACATACATACGCTCCCCTGCTCCTGCTTTGCACGGGCTGCTGGGCAAACTGGGAAGTTTGTCAAGGAAGCCTGGAGGTCAGAGCAACCTGCCTGAGCATGAGATACTGCTGGAGCACAAGTCAGTGCATGGCAGGGAAAGCAAAAACACAACTGCATCTCAGGATAGAAGCACCTGAAGGGAAGGATGGTTTCTCATACACACAGAAGCTGAGAAGGCATGAATTCAGGTAAGAAGATGATTTTTTTAATGCCAAGAGTAATTAATGTCTACCATAATATACTAAGGATATAGTCGACACTCAATCATTTGAAGTTTTTAAATCAAACCTGATTATCTCCTAGAAAAATATGATCCTAGTTAGATTGTAATTTATTAATTTGGTGCAAGAGTTATTGGGTGAAATCCAATGTCCTGCACCAAAGTACTCACTTCCATACATTTCTCCTGTTAAAGCACTCCTACTATTTAATACATAGAGGAGAATCAGAAATGGTGAAGAGCTTTAATGATTTCATGTCAGCTTTAGCATCTCTGTTCTATGTAACTGCAGCACTTCACAGTTTGAACAGCAGCACTTGCATGTGAAACCATCCTGAACTAACTACAAAAACACTGCTGTGCAAACCAACTCTTCTTAGACAAACCTCCACAATCAATATTCTAACAGGGATTAATGTTTTCCTTCCCCAGCTGTAAGAACGTGTTCTGCCAGTCCGACCAGCTAGGTTTGAATGCAAAGCTGAATGGACAAAATGGAAAAGCCTTTTTAAAAAGAGACATCGTGAGCTAAAAGTGTTAGTTAGGAAGTATTTCTGAATCAGACCCAAACCCTTTGATACTTTCTCACTTCTGTTTCTGAAAGAACACACTGAACTTGTGTGATTATTCTGCACTTGTTGAGCTGTTCACTCAAGGGAGAAGTAATAACTAATTAGTAAAATATAATTGAAATCCATCTTCAGTACACTCTTTCCTTTTATCTAGTGTTTGAAGATTCTATCTAAAACGCCAGAGGCTAAGAAATGCAGTTCAAAGCTGCCTTCGAAAAATAAACTTGACAACTGAAACGTGGGCTGGATATCCCCTCTTTTTTCCTCCTTCCCTTTATATAAATATCTAACACGCACATACAGAATCACTAATCACATGATGATATGAATGTAAGTATACACTCTCGTACTTGTCCTCCAGACACAAAAAATGGTGTACGATCACTGGAGATAAACAGTTTTGTTCCCTGTAATACTTCTCTCTCATGAAGTTAATACTATAATAATACCTCATTTCTCTTGAAAATGTGGTTTTCAACCAAGTGACTCTACCTACAATAGAGTATCAAACACTGTACATCAGTGCAGGATTCACTGTACAAACCAGGTGCAGGATTCAAGTACGAGTAGCTTAGTGTCATTTGCACACCATTGGGGAGCAGCATTCAATCACGTTAAGGACAAATCTATCATACATTTGTACCAACTCCTCCCTCACGAATTGCCTACATGTTAAGGGATTTGAGCTCTTCAGGTAACACCAAGCAAGGCCACAGTAAGGATGGCTTGAGTAATGCTCCTTCATACCTTACCCCACAAAGCTAAGCCGATTCTGAAGCCTTACAGATGAGGCAGCTCCTCTGGTTTCTGTGTTTACATTCCATACACACCGACCACAGTGATTTCATCCAGGTAAGGATGCTCACTACCCCCTGCCTGAGATGACAGGTAGATAAATGGGTGGTGCTTTGCGGAAGGGGCTTTGCTCCCTGCATGATGCTCAGCACTTGCACACTTCCCTGTAGAACTTACCCTCCACTCTCTAAGCCTTTTTTTTTTTTTTTCCTTTCCATTAATAAGTTATATTACCT